CTTTAAAAATGATAATAGTGTGTTTTCCATTTTAATATAAATAATCTATACTCGTAATAGGTATGTAATATAATAATATTTTATTGATTTTATTTTTTTATTATTTGAGCTTTTAATTTTCRHATTGATTTAAATCATTCGATTGCGACCCTAAATAATAAGTTGGCGACCCCCAAGTTGAGAAACACTGATCTATCTCACATATTTTCTATAGGAGGAACAATTTTTTTTTCACCGGGGCTTAGGAGGCGCCAATTTTTTTTTTTTGCACCGGGGCGCAAAATGTCTAAATGCAGCACTGCATATTGTGTAGTATAATACAATATTGTGCAGAAATAAATAAATAACTTTATTATAGGTATATAAATATAAAATAATATGATTTGTACAAAATTATTAGTATGGACCAAAAGTGTTGGAACTGTGTGTCCCGTCTCCCAGGGGCGTCACGAGAGTTTGTGAAGGGAGCCGCGATAAAGCACCAGAAACCAACATCATAATGTATGTATATCTTGTATAATTATTAGAAATATTGTTAGTAATCATTAAGAAAACGATAACGAAACATATCACTCGACCTGTTAAAATGTTATTTCTAATCCCATTTTTACTGTTATTTCACTCAAATTGGCTAAATTCTATCCATGTGTTGTTTACATTTTTCATAATTATTTGGGAGCCGTCGAAATATTGTGAACACCCACAGGAGCAACTAGCCACAGGATGAAAAAGTTTGAATACCTCTGGTATGGGCTATAAATTCTGAATATACGTGGATAGATCGTTTTCGTTGGTAAACCCCGTTATAGCTATATAGTATATATTATATACTATGTAGCTATAAAAAGAAACACATCAAGATAGATGGAATAAAATTGGTCTTATTTGAGTTTGAATCCGATGAGTTGGCATCGAAACAATTGGACTATATTGTAATTATTAAACATCCCGGTGGCGTGTATTTTATGTATCACTTATCATTGCATTATTGCTTTAATCATATTTCTTTGGAAATACCTAACTAGATTTAAATGTTGTTAAAAAGCAATTCATTTTAAATACGAAAATAATACAATGTTTACATTTATACGAATTTTTTTTACTTAGATATTTTATTACGATGAACATGAACAATAGGAAGACCGGGAGACATATCCATACCTCACAAGTTATTTGATCAACTTAAGTACACGATCGTACAAAACAAATATTTACATGCATCTTTAACATCACGGTTTTATATATATATATAATTTAATTTCAACTTATTATATTCCTTCTATTAATATCTAACAAATCATATCCTTTACCTAAATACAGTATAATATTATATTCGTTTAAACATTACACCGGGTACATCCATATTCGAGAAAAATCGAATCATATTATCGGTTTACAAATATCCATCTATTCATACAACTATTTTAACTCCTATTTACCTATCGAATCGTGATAAATATAAAGTTAAAGTTGACCTTAAATTTTATATGTAGATAAATATTACATACATATTATGATACCATTCATATTTTATAAATGTAATTTAAGACTTAAATTATTCATTTAATATTATCAGCAAAGTTGAATAATAGATACCTACATAATTAAAAATTATATTTTTTGTATTCCAGTAAACTGTAAGCTTTCTAATAAACAATTTAAAGCAATCTTAACTAAAGTCTGATTAGGTGCATTTCAAATGATAAAAAAAAATATTTTTATAGGTTGAAAATATATTTTTTACAAATTGCATTAGAATTAGAAATATTAAAAACATCAAATGTTAATTGTATTCATTTATGTTGCATTGATTTTTTTAATTTATTAAAATAGAAATATCAAACAAAAATATTATTATTCAATATCTAATAATATACACTATACAATATACAAAGAGTATCATAAGATCTATTGATTTCTACGTACAAATTTATTTTTATCAAAAATCTTAACAAAGAAATTAATAACTTATAAATTACTTATTAAGTATTAAAGTGTATCAACAAATTAAAAAAAAAAATGTCAACACCTAGATTATTACGCAATGTACTTTGTGCATTATTTAAATAATGTATTTTAACATATTAATATTAAAATAACTTATTATACAAATGTATTGTATTAGTAATTTATAACTAATTTTACTTTCAAAAAATTTGCTTATTTATAACTTTATTAAAATATATAGTTAGTACCTAATAAAGTGTAAGCAACTTAATGATGATAATAAATATTTATTAAATAGGATTAACCTAAATTCGATCGAAATTAAATAAAGAAATCTGAGTTTTTTTCCTGTTTGTTTGAACTTTGAAGTGATATTTTAAACTAAATTTAAATAGTTAATTTACTGTCACGGCAACATATTTTAAAAGTCCATAAAACATTGTAATGGTAATAAAAATAGTGGAACCTGACCGCATTTCTTGACATGTCATAATGAGTAAAAATATTCACAAGGTTTAAAGAAAACAATTTGCAAAATATTAAGAGTTATGACTCCATTCATGAAATTATCAAAATTATCTCAATATGTGTTGGCAATTATTTTCATTTACATAAATTGATTATTAATCAACTGTTTATTATGATTAACGCTGATAAGTTAGTTGTTACCATAATGTATATACCTAATTTTATAGTCATAAAATAATAATTTATGTATTAAATAAATATTAAATTTGCCATTTCTTGCTATTACATTTCATTATATTATTTATGTTTTTCTTGAAAATTAGGTAAGATTTTCTATACAATTATTATTATTCTTTAGAGGATACAGTGTAATGAGTCTACTAAGTTTTATTTTTATTTTTAAAAAGAATGAATATAATATTTTGTAAGCAAAAAATTACCGGGAAAAAATACGCATTTGTTGGGTCAAATGAATTTCAGTACCGATTTTCGTGTACGTCGAACTTTGTAGTTTATTTGGAGTGGTTCAACTTTTCAACAATACTTTGTTTTGTACGATAAAGATACCTGTTAGCCCCTCTGTTTCTACCCACCAACTTACCACTGTAATCTTTTTGTTTGAAAAGGTCACAATTGTACAAATTCATCTCATAATATTTCCGAAGTTATATAGTGATATTGTTTGTACGTAGAAACACAATGCTTGAATGGAATGTTATGACTATATACACAAAAGAGAGAAAAAAACTTGTATTTTTATGATTCTATAACTTTATTACATTTAAAAGTCACCATTTTCAAGTACTTTGAGTATCACAATTCAAGGWTTTAGTGTTCAAAATGAATAAAAAGTCCCCCTTAGTATTTGAAACAAAATTAAAATGATACGCAATTTAATTTAATTTTTAGATACTTTTTGATAAAAAAAAAAATAGTAACGTTGCATACATAAGTATCGAAAACAAATTTAACATCCATTTAATTTCATCTGATTAAAAACAGTCTAATTATTGACAAAACTAACTGTGTTAAATGCTATTGTGGATTACGTGACTAAACAAACTAAACTTTAATATTTAATGAAGCCGTATATATTATTATGTAAATTCATTGTGTCGGATGTTTATTTAGCGATAATTGCCGTTTTATTAATTATTTAATTTCAGAGATTCACGAGAAGCTAATCGTAATTTATAAGGGTTAATTCATTACCAAAACACTGAATTATATTATTATTTTATGCTAAACGTCAAAATACTTAGTAAACATTTATTTATTTAGTGGAAATTTCAAAATATCTGTCTAGCAAAATATCGTATTGTAACTAAAATTGTATTATGTATGTTGAAGTTTTGGTACTAATTTAAAAAAAAAATTAACTTTTTATTTATTTTCTAGTAAATTAAAAAAAAAGATGTTTATAGAATATTTTAAATATCATTACACTTGTAATCAACAAACAGTGCTAAAAAAAATTAATAATATTCAGTTTTCTTCGTTGAAAATATTTAAATGTAAATTCTTACATAAAAACATTGAGTTATAATTTGTATAAATTATACAATTCAATTCATTCGATTAAAATTTAAAAATCATAGTTTATATATTTTAAATATTGCAAATATAATTTTAAGAAAAATTAAATTGACCAATAAATACGCTAAATTTCTCAATTGCTTGTATGCCATAMATTATATGAATGTAATAAATAAATGTATCATAACTATATGATAAATACATATAATATTGTGCTCGTCAGGCTCGTCTAAAATTTAAATATAAAACTAATGGTTTAATTAAATAGTTATGTAAGCTTGAGATTATAAATAAAAAAATCATTTGAATAGCTAGTTTTAATTTAAAGAATAATGCATATAAATTTTAAAATATATTAGACGAATAAAACAATTCTTCTTATTCAATTAGGCATATAATATTTTTATAATTTTTGTATTTTTTGTATTACCTACATCAAAATCTATTTATATAATATGTAAAATAGTCGTATAACTAATGTGTTAGAAATTATATTTATTTATTTATAATATTTAATTAATTTAATAATATTCTACTTAGGTAAATAAGTAGGTACCTATATGMTATTTCGATATACCATATCCTACAGATCGATTAGAACGAAATGATTACCCAATAACATAATAGTGAAATTAATTTTTTTTTTTTAATTTGTAACTATCATAACTGATAATTAATACAGTTAGTAAGAATCTAATTTGGAAAATAAACTACTTAATCGTGTATTAAATTCTGCAGTGTATTTATATGTGAACAATAATCATCAGTATAGTATTATTTACGTATACTTAAACTCATTTTCTAATATTGTTATAATGCATACATTTATTTCCATCAACCATTGTACATTTTTATCGTTTTACTTATTTTTGACTATGAAATCACAAAATATCTCTCGTCCCGTCACATGCATTAATCAAGTTAAATTAAGTTGTATGCTGCAAAATCATGATAACTCACCCTAAGTCGGAGCAATAACGCCACGTCGACTGTGTCGCTGTTGTCCGCGGAGTCGTGTTCGCTGTTATCGTTTCAGATCGCAAATATTTTGAAAAAAATGGTCACCGAAATTTATACGCGTGTAAAACGCGAGCTATATTCGTTATTGCCGCTGTACAATTTATAATGACGTATTAGACCGTAATAAATGTATAATAATTGTGCGTCGTCAGACCTAGATCGCAATTATTAATATTATCATTAAAACAATAATTTAAGTGACATAAAATTTCTGTTGTCGGGCTATTTTTGGATGTGAAATGGAGGAAAAAGGGACTGGGAGCCGTTGGAAAAATGTAGGGCTGTTGACGACAACGACGGCGACGGAATGTGACAGACGACGACGAGAATGCAACGAGCACGCCACCGGGTCGAGCACTGGCCGGCGAGAAAACACGTGTGCGTGTGTGCGGGCAGTGAGTGTTTTTCCGCGATCGCGCCCGAACCGCCGACGTCGCTGCCGCCGATGCGTACCAACCCCCTCGCGGCCGCCACCCGTGCGACCACGCACCCTCATTGGTCCGTCGCGTTAAGGCCCGCGACGGTCACCGAACGTATTCCAAGGAATCGCCGACCGCCCCCCTCCAAACCCACCCGCCCCTACGTGGCTAATATTTTAATTCTTATCGTTTCCGTCATATGATAGTGTTTTTCTACGAGTCTCCCTATAAAATAAATTTGGCAATTTTTTATACCAATGTACCTACTATATCGTATTATCATGAACTCACATTATATTATAATACAGGTATAAAACGTACAATTTTTCGAAATTCTTTACTAGGGGTCAGCAGGTCAGCTATTGTAGGCGTTGATGTTTTTCAAGAACCTAAAAAAAAATTATTACGTGACTGGATAATACAAAATTATATTTTGAGATAAAAATCTATTTTTCCTATGCCAGCTGAACTTGAGAGAAAATCACATAATGTTATAAAAATACACTCGTCATGTTTACAGAAAAAAAAAATAATGATAATATGTTACATCATATAAATCGAAATCCGTTCGTTATTTCGAAGTTAAAAATATAATATCATTATAAAATGTTATAATATTAGATACAAGCATTAATTTATTAACCAGACCAGAACCAGCTTAATGTCCCACATGCGATGAACGACCAAACACATTATATGCCACTGTCGGAACTTCAATATAAAGACTTCAAGGACGAATTCCAAATTGAAAACAATCTGCTTATCTCTTGATAATATCTTTAAATCGACTAAATTGTATAATGTCATATAATATTTGTAATATGTAATAAACTATACCTGTATATATCATCTATATGTAAATATATTTTAAGCATCTAATATCTAAACTCTAAAGCCAATGACCCTTGTTGTCGTGGCTAAATTTAAAAAAAAAATGATTAGATTCACGCTAGACAGTGTACAAAATTAATATAACTATATCAATTGAACTCGCTGATTTCGTATCGAAAAAAAACATATGAACTATGAATATAAAATCTCATTTTGATATACCCATTAATAGACAGTGGGCACTCGTATTATATTATAATAACTAAATTAACATGAATGGAACATGTGATGGATAAAAGAAGGGTCAATATTCGTAAAGAAAAGAAAACGGTCTATAGAATTCACCGAACACGATCATGTCAACAACTACGACAATGTGCGTTCCAAATAAGTTTCTGAAAACTTTTTCGCATTACTCCGCCGCACATGATAGCGCATCGAGTTATATTTTAAACTGTTATAAATCATTACTATTGTTGCTTCTTTCTTTCCATTTCTATTAACGACGAGTTAATTTTGAAGTATCACATACCTACCTACCTCTTACAGTTTTGAGTGTTCGATATAATGCCAAATTAAATAATTATTAAGTAATCAGACAGCAAATTATCCTACGCAGAATTTTTAAAATACCACGATTTTCAATACTTGAATTCTTACTCGACGGTCAACAGTGATGGTTCAGGGACTTACCGATTTGTACGCATTATTATATATTTTATACCATTAATGGGATCGGTGTCGGACAATTATTTTAGCCGAAATCGACCAATAATTTGTCCATCATACTGATCTACTCTGCTAGTGTAGCTTCTAGTTGGGTCCCAGATTTTATTGGTACTATACTAGTAGTTGGGTCCGAGATTTTCACTGATACAACATTAGTTGGGACCTGAAATAGTTTAGGTATAATAGTAGTTTCTGAATATTTTTTGGTAAGTAGGTACTATTTATACTGAAAATGTTTTTAGAGTTTTTTTTTTTTTTTTTTTAATATTAAAAATGAAAAAAAAAATGTATTTTAATAATTAAAAATATTATCCAATAATATATTAATTTAATTTGTTTAAATTTAAAAGTAAATGAAAAGTACTCGCGTATATAATATTATAGTATATTGGGATATTCGTTTTAAAAAAAGACGCAAGTAGTTTTCTCTTATTCAAGCATTCGTGTAATAATATCAGTGTTATCGGTAATATCTGATAATTTTATTAGATTCAACCATTTATTTTGACATATTTTATAATAAACCATCTGGAACAGCGATAAATGCCAGATTTCTATTTGTCGACGAGTTATCTAGCGGCGACTATACATATAGCCAACACGGTGCACACCTATAGTTACATATTGGTAGTAAGTGTTCTGTGTTCTAAGTTCTAACGAATAGCACTATGAAAGACTCTATCGTTATATTCAGTGAAAAGAGTAAAAAAAATTATTATAACGACTTCATATCAGTTTTTTTTTAATATTATTGCATTATTAGGTCGATTGGTCGGATAGACATTTTGTGTAAAAATTCCCGTTTTTCCTTAATTTTTTGTTTTGTTTTTTCGGTTGCTTTAGAAAACTACTGTGGATTTTCAATATTGACCTCCTTAACACATCAACTAAATTCACCTTCCCATCGAAAAAGCTACAAAAGTTAAAAATCGAAGCACTACTTGGACAACTTATCGTGTACACGGGCACGAAAAAAAAAAAAACACACATCGTTGTAAAATCAATAGTCTTTTAGACTCAGAATCTAAAGGCATTTCTCGGGAGTATCAAAATGAAGAAATAAATTTAAGGCATACACAAACAAATAGTTATAAGTCCTAAAAAGTCCCCTCTGTATTGTTTTAATAGAATTGTTAGCATAAATAAATACAATAAAATGTATAAAGCTATATAATGGCATCTATCACTAAAGCTAAAGATAAATAATAAAAAAAGTTTAAAATAATAAATGGTAGAAATCTAACAAAAGTGTTCCATTTCATTTTTTTAAACGAATCATTTCGTTATATTTATCAATAAACATTAAGAAAAAAAATATTGTATTGATTAACATCAAAATATTTTTTAAAATGTATAAATATTAAACTAATTATTAGAGTATGATTAGGTATATATTTACTAATAAATAGTTAGTAAAATTAAATGTCTTTATTGAAAATAACACAATTTATTTTGTTTTTTAGAGTACTTGTTAATAGATAAAAGTAATATTAGTTTATCTTCAAAACTAATTTGTATTGTATTTATGTACGATGTACAATATATTTTATTCCGTTTTCCTAGTAACATGTAATTTTAGATTTGAAATCATCTCTTATTGAATAACATATAATTTAATTTATATAAGGGAATCATGAACAACAAATCCGTCGGGAGATTGTGCAAGAATTTGGTATAAACTATAAACAATTAATCCAACGACAATCAATTTGTAATTTTATTGTATTATAATAAAATTGTAATGCTTCGACAATCGTATGTACCATAATTATGGTTTTTTGCACAATACCGTGGTTATAACTATATGAACATTTATTTAATTATAATATATTTCAAAGAGCAGTAATCAAAAATATTTTAGATTTTACCTGGTATAAGCTGCTCCATCAAAATATTGTGATGTGTATAAAAAAATTAATTCAACTATGTTTTATTTACGTTCGTGTGAAACCTAAGGCACAACTGTAATATCCATTGTACATTTTGTTTTTGTAAATAAATATATTTCATACGATTGTAGCAATAATTCCGTAAAATATGGTTCGTGGGTTCGTGCGAACAACTTTTTTTACAAACACTAAACACGTCATAACAGCATATCATTTCATATGTTTTTTGCAAGTTTTATTTTATAYTTTTTTATTACGCAACAACTATTTCCATCATCTTCGATCGCTGTAAACTACGTTATCTGGTTTTAATTTTCAAATGAATCCTTTAACAATATGATGTCTGCCTATCTAATAAATTGATAAAATATTTTAGAGTTTAAAATGTCACATACATTTAAAAAATATATTTATTATCTACTTTAGATTAAAATTATTCTTTTTCTGGTTCAAAAAAAAAAAGTTATCTTATCAAAGATAAATATTTAACATACATGTATTTGTGTTTTAAAACTTTTTTTACCAATTATTAAGAAAATTGGTAAAGTAGTGCCATTAGTGCCAATTAGATA